GTTTCCTGCCCACCTGGGATCTCTGGGCAGCTGGGTCCTGGACTGCCTGAATTCAAAGGTATTTGCCTCCCAGGGCTACCCAACTCCCCAGGCAGCTGCCTCTCCAAGCTGCCCATTTGCCAGACTCCCAGAGCAGTCCAACTTCCTGGCTTCCAAGGCTCCTTACTCCCTAGGCAACTGCCTTCCTGGGTTCTGTGACTCCCCAGGTAGTCAAGCAGCCCAGAGAGCTGGTTGCCTGGGGAGTTAGACTCTATGGGAATTTGGGGAACGAGCTGAAAAACTCCATTTTGGTTCTCTTGAAATGGATTTTTCCATAATGTTTTTGTTCCAATTAACCCTACATCCAGCTCAAGCAGGGGTAAACTCCACCTGTGTAAATCCCTGCTCTCCTTGTCTACACTAAGGATTTGCAACCTGCAGCTATACCAAAGACCAAAATTGGGGCTAATTCCCAATGTAGTCAAGTCCTTAATATATATCTGTGTGGTGGGGAAGAAGCAGTGCTGCTGGGCCTTGTTGTCCTCTGATCCAATGGAAAAGGGAAGGTTTTGTTTTAATGTTTTCAATTTTCTTCTGTTGGTATTTGCAACCCAAACAATGCAGGATTGTGCCAGCATGTGGCAAACTGAAATGGACTAGAAATTGACTAAAAACAGAAGATGGTGCAATAAAATACTGTATATTACCTCGCCCACCTTTTCTCTCTAAAAACAAGTGAAACAGGTTAGTTTATTTTCATTTTCCAAACCAAAAGAACTAAGCAATATCACAAATGGTGAAAAGTAAATTAGATTTTTTTTTCAGTTTTAATGATATTTGCAGAAATAATGTTTTTAATGTTTTAAATATAACTTTTAACCTGACAGTTTTCCTTTAAATTACTAATCACTTATAAAGCAAAATGGATGCAGCAGTTTACAAAATAAAAAAATCAAAAATCCTCAAAAGTCATCTTGTTGCCAGCTCTGAAGATTTTATTGCAAGTCTGGTGATAACTGGTGTGTTTCTTAAAGCCCAACTCCTAGAATCAAGAGATTGCGTGAGAATATTACCTTCCATGAAAAAAGAAAAGAAATTATGTTTCTAGCCCTCCTAATTACAGAGAAAGTTTTGAAAACATGAAGTGAGTGTACCCTAAAGGCTCAGAAAGCTGAAGGCAAATAAAAAGATGTATTATTTTTGTGTCATGTATTAATGTACTATTAATGTATAATAAAATGTATTATTTTTGTGTCATGAGCCTGGCGGGGGGGGGGGGGGGCTGACATGTTTTTGGACATTTGCAGTTGGAAATATTGCTAAAATAACTCACAAGACAACATCGTTAAGCCATTAAGGCAAGAAATTGAGAACAAGGTACTGAGAATTTGGTGAAACCTCCCTGAAGCTCTTATTCCTTTTAAAATTTTATTTTTATTATTTATTATTTTTAATTTGTACTTAAAAACCAGTACAGCTCTGGAAGAATTGGATCATCGTTTGAAAACAATGAAATTGCAGTGCCAGAATATGAAGACAGTAGGGTTACACAGGTATAATTGTGGTGTTGCTAGTTCTTGCTATTTTTTCCCCACAAATCTCACAATATTTGATGTTTACCTTTAAAAGCTTCAGTTTCAAGAGAAAAGTGATTAGGTGAAAATCTCTGCTTTCGTTAAAAAAAAAAGAAGGTTCTAGCTTCAAGGTTGGAGAGAAAAGATTGAAAATATGACCCAAGTGTACCCTGGTAACTCAATGCAAATAAAAAGGATCCTAATTATTTTTTATTTTAAATCTCACAAATTTTAAATCAATTTCATAACTCTATCTGTGGCATGATTCATGAACATTTGGGGTTAGCAATTCTGCAAATGAGGGCAGAATTTGGCCCACAGAATCTTTTACAAGAGATAACTGTGAAAGGCAGGAAAGAACCAACTTGACATTTAGTTCCCAGGCCTCACTGAAAACGCTGACAGTTTAAAAACATTAAAAATTGTTATTTACAATAAGAGCAAATTTTGACCAGAATTCATTGTGAGACAATAAATATGGAAACCCACAGGGACATTTTGTGGTTTGAGCATTGGCCTGCTAAACCCAGGATTGTGAGTTCAATCCTTGAGGGGGCCACTTAGGGATCTGGGGCAAAATCAGTACTTGGTCCTGCTAGAGAAGGCAGGGGGCTGGACTCAATAACCTTTTGGGGTCCCTTCCAGTTCTATGAGATAAGTCATTTCTCAGAGTATAACAGTTTTATTTTGAGGAAATTGGAAAGAGGAATGTCACGTGACTTACCAGGAAAGGTTTGCAAAATGTTGGTTCACAGCAAGTGGAGGTAAAATGGGTGAAAGGGGAAAAAAACAATAGAAAAACAAAAATAGTTTACAGTTTCCTAGAAATCAGATTACATCAAGATTCTGACTTCAGCTCCTGAATTCTTAGGAGAAACTTATCTTCACTACCCTACATTGCTAGAACTCTGTCTTGAAGACAGCAACAGGTTTCTACAGCAATACTTTTCCACAGCAGAATTACCTATATTGCCCCAGTTCTGCTAGTTGGTAATTGCTATAACTGTGGTTCCTTAAATTAGCCACAGCTGAACTGACTGGGGTCTACCACCGGGCTAATTATCAGGAAATAGGAATCTCTCTTGATCAAGGAAAAATTGGAAAAATTGGAAAGAGTCCAGCGGAGGGCAACAAAAATGATTAGGGGTCTGGAGCACATGACTTATGAGGAGAGGCTGAGGGAACTGGGATTGTTTAGTCTCCAGAAGAGAAGAATGAGGGGGGATTTGATAGCAGCTTTCAACTACCTGAAGGGGGGTTCCAAAGAGGATGGAGCTCGGCTGTTCTCAGTGGTGGCAGATGACAGAACAAGGAGCAATGGTCTCAAGTTGCAGTGGGGGAGGTCCAGGTTGGATATTAGGAAACACTATTTCACTAGGAGGGTGGTGAAGCACTGGAATGCGTTACCTAGGGAGGTGGTGGAGTCTCCTTCTCTGGAGGTTTTTAAGGCCCGGCTTGACAAAGCCCTGCCTGGGATGATTTAGTTGGGAATTGGTCCTGCTTTGAGCAGGGGGTTGGACTAGATGACCTCTTGAGGTCCCTTCCAACCCTGATATTCTATGATTCTATGATTCTAAGGAAAGAGAAAAATTCTTATGTCCCACATCAGGTAAGAATCTCTCTGCTTTCAGGGGTTGGGAGAAAGGAGGAACTAGCTAAAATAAAACTTTTTTCATTGAAAGACAGTTTCTTTTCCTATATCCATCTGAGGGCTTCTCTACACTACAAAATTAAGTCGACTTAAATTGACATAAAGCCATCACAGTAATTAAAGCAGTGGTTCACGTCCACACTATGCTCCTTCTGTTAATGGTGTGTGTCCTCACCAGGAGTGCTCCCATGGACTGAAGTGGAGCATATGGGGTACTGATAGCTGGAGTCCCACAGCCCTGGTGCTCACAGCTGGCCCTCTATCTGCTCCAGTGCCAACAGCCTGAGCTGTTAGCCCAGCACTCAGCTCACACCTTGGGCTGTCAGCGTGGGGACGAGGGGGGATGACAGCTATAAGCCCTGCTGTCAAAAAATCCAATTTTCTGCTCAGAAACAATTACGATGGAAAATTTTTGACCAGCCCTAATATTGAGACTTCATAAATATGGAATATTACAGTTTATCCTGCTCCTGCAAGCACTTTTACAGGAGCTTAACATTACTATCCATTGAAATCATGGATAGTGAAGTTAAGCTTATACAAGTGTTTGCAGCACTGGAGCCTCAATTCTCACAGATTACATTGGAGGAAACAGGTGTTCCTGGGACCTTATTCCAAAGGCTTTTGGCTGTGTGGAACTGAAAGTAGTAAATGTAGGGGGCAAGACAGAAAGTGCTGAGTGAAAGGGAAGCAAAGATGCATTAGATAACAAAGACTAATATGTTTTTAAAACTACCAAAATAGATTTATAATTAAATAAAATTGTAGGTCATTCAAACTCCCAGGAACCTGACACGACCAGATTAAATTAATAAGAACAGACAGATAATGTTTTCCCTACTATATCTGGATTTTTTTTTACATATTGTTGTTACAAGTAATACTGTAACTGAAAGATAAGCAAACATACTTTTTTCTCTTCTTTACTTTCTGCATTTTGTGTGTATAATCCCTCTGGCAGCGTGGCCATTTCACACAGCAGAAGGGGAGAAATACTTTTAAAAAAACAGAAAATCTGATTATAAACCTAGAAAAACTGGCAGGGCAGGTGCAGCACCTCAGACTACTTCAAACTTTTATTATTTTTAATGACTAGCTTTCGAGTTGATGGCATCACTCAAAACACAAAGCTACAAGTGCAGGAGATGTCATCGCACAAGTGGATCCCTCTCATCTGAGCGTGAAGGAGATGCATGCGGGTGAGGGAATGATGGCCCTGTCCCCTTGCGTCACTAATGCAGATAAATAACAGCTCCTACGTTCAGGGATGGCGAGAAGGGGAACGATTGTACCATGGACCCCAAACTGTCTGTGTAAATACAGTGAAAGGGGAAGGGTTGGGCCCCAGTGATTATAATGTCCCCTGCCAGGCCTGTACATTGCTGGCATTAGGCTGCTGCTCCCTAGCGCTCCTCAACTCATGCCCAACCTTTGCATGGGATACTGGTGCACTTCCGTGCCAGGGCAAAGGCTGGGCCATGTGCTGAGATGACCCCGGCTGACGCTGAGATCTTGGGTTCGCATCCTCCCCGCTCCCCTCTGCTGCCCCCAGGGGGCTCTCCTGGGCCCCAAGCCCCCCTGACTGTCAGCCAACCTGGGCACCCCCAACCGCCTCCCCCAACCGTCACTCTCATTCCAACTGTCACCATGCCCAGGCTCCCCGTCACGTGCCCCACCTGACCACTGGCTGGGCCGCTGTCCCGCTCGCTTCTCCCGCCCCGCCCCCTCCTTCTCCCGGCACGCAGGCAGGGGGCGGGCCCGGGACCGCCTGTTATTTGACCCGGAGCCCGCACGCGCTCCCGCGCTCTCTCTTTTTCCGCCTCCGCTGCGGAGCCTCAGCTCGAGCTCTGCCGCCGCCGCCTCCTCCTCCTTCCCCCCGGCGCGGCCATGCCCAACATCGTGCTCTTCAGCGGCAGCTCGCACCAGGACCTGTCCCAGCGCGTGGCCGAGCGGCTGGGCCTGGAGCTGGGCAAGGTGGTGACCAAGAAATTCAGCAACCAGGAAACCAGGTGACGCGGGCGGGCAGCGGGGGGGGGAGGGGTGTTAATGAAGCGGGGCCGCTCTTGGGGTGGGGGCAGGGCCTGCGTCACCTGCTCTCCGCTGCGTCACTGGCCCCGTCCCCGCGTTCGGGTTCCAGGCCAGCTCCCCAGAGCGGTGTCCGGCCCCGGCTCCGGCCCCCACCCCCACCCCGGCGTGGGGCCCCAGCCGCTCCCCCGTGCGGGCGGCCCGGGCACCTTGACCCCCGGCGTCCCCCGCCCCGCTGAGCCTGAGCCCTGCCTTGGCGCCGCCACCTGAGCGGTGACAGTTCGCTGCCGCTCCGCCTTTGCCGGGCTGCCCCTCCCCCGCGCAGCGCGGCCACCAGCTCTTGCGCTGAGCCGCCTTGTGTTTATGTACCGAGCAGTCACTCTCCCTCCGCGGTGGGAGCCGCGTTATCCAGCCGGCACCCCCTGAGCTGGGGCACTTAAAAACTATCGCCAAGAAGGATGAACAAAAAAGCCTTCTAGCCGGAAGGGCACGGATGGTTTGAGCATTGGCCTGCTAAACCCAGGGTTGTGAGCGCTATCCTTGAGGGGGCCATTGATGGATGGGGTAAAAATCTGTCTGGGCATGGGCCCTGCTTTGAGCAGGGGGTTGGAGTAGATGATCTCCTGAGGCCCCTTCCAACCAGGGCCAGCTTTAGGCCAATTCAGCCGATTCAGCTGAATCGGGCCCCGTGCCTAAAAGGGCCCTGCAGCTGTCCACCCCTCCCCCAGCTCACTTCCCCCTTCTCCCCTCCCCTGAACGCTCCACCCCCCTGCTCCTCCCCCTCCCCTGCTTCCTGTGAATCAGATGTTCGCGGGAAGTCTGAAAACAAGCAGGGGCAAGCGGGCAGCAGGTAAGCTGGGGTGGAGGGGAACGCGAGGAGGAGGGCTCCGGGGAGGCGTGGCGCGGTCCAGCCGGCCCTGGCTGAGGGGTTCCCTCCGGCCCCAGCCCGGCCAAGCGGCTCTGGCCCCGGGGTGCCGGCCGCGGTTCTGGCCAAGCGTACCGGCCCCAGTGGCTCCGGCCCGGCTCGGGCCCTGGCCGAGCAGCGCCAGCCGAGCACCCCCGGCAGCTCCGGCCCAGCTCGGGCATTGGACCCGGTTCCGGCCGAGCGCTGGCCCCAGCGGCTCCGCGCAGCCCGATTCCGGGGGCGGGGCTTGCCGGTAAGCCCCGCCCCCAGGAATCGGGCCCCGCTCTTGCTAAAGCCGGCCCTGCTTCCAACCGTGATATTCTATGATGAGGTGACTAAAATCACACCGTTGCTTAGATCTGTTACAGCATCTTGATATTTGGGGGAGGGGAGGCAGGGAGGAGAAGAAATTGTATTTAAGAGGTGTGTGTTTTAAGCATTAAGCTTAAGAGTTGTGTGTGATGCTGTTTTGATGACACCCCCCCGCCCTCCATTGCTGTGGTATGTAGGTGTCACCTAAATGAACATCTGTTCCTCCCAAAAAGAGCCTAGTATTTTTCGTTATTGGCTGCTGTTTTGTTTTGCCCCATTCTTAACTTTGTCTCCAAGAAGTATGCTGCTGGCCTTTCTCTATCCTCTCTTTTAGAGGGAAGGTGTAAGAATCATCCTGCTGTCAACTTGTAGGTAAATTATCTACAGCTGTTAAATTAACAGTTGCGAGTATGTGGCAGAGAATGCCCTCACTGGAGAACATCATCTTAGGCCTTGTCTACACTGCCACTATACAGTGCTGCAACTTGCTCTCTGGAAAAAACACCCCCCTGAGCACTGCGAGTTTCAGCGCTGAAAAGTGGTAGTGTAGACAGTGCACTAGCGCTGGTAGCTACTCCCCTCTTTTTCAATAGCACTGGAAGAGCTCTCTCCTAGTGCTGGTGCTGCAACTACACAGCCACGTTAAAGCGCTGGCTTGGCTAAGGCTAAGGGCTTGGCTACACTTGAAAGTTAGAGCGCATTAAAGCAGTCCCAGGTGCCCTAACTCATGACCCATCCACACTGGCAAGGCACTTAGAGCACCTGGACTCTGCAGCTGGAGTGCTCCTGGTAATCTACCTCCACAAGAAGCATAACGCTTGCTGCGCCTCGGCTGAAACACCCCAGTGTCAGTGTGAATAAAGTGTTGTATTACTGCGCAATGATAGGCCTCCAGAAACGTCCCATAATCCCCTTAAGTCAAGTGGCCACTCTTGTCATTGTTTTGGAATTGGCTGTAGGAATGCAGATATGCCCTTTCAAAGCTCTGTTTTTGACAGTCGGCATGCTTATCTACCCTGGGACAAAGCAAGCCATTAGTGTGGAATGTTGCTTGCTGTGAGTGTGTGTAAAAGAGGGGAGGGAGAGGGGGGTCTGCTGCTGTCTTAACTTACAAGATAGCATGCTGACACACGCTCAGTTCCTCAAAAAAAAAAACCTCTCTCTCCCACCACATACACAAAACACACTCCCTGTCACCCCCCCCTCTCCCCCCCCCCCCCCCCCGAAAAGAATGGTGCAGCCACTTGCACGCTGGGATAGCTACCACAATGCACTGCTCTTTGTGGCGTTGCAGGAGATTCTCATGTGGCCACACCAGTGCATTTGCAGCTGAGCGTGTAAACACATGGCAGTGTTTTCCCTGCTGCGTTCTCCGAAGGCTGGTTTAACTCCCAGCGCTCTACGTCTGCAAGTGTAGCCATGCCCTTAGACTCACGCTGTAAAGTCCTGTTGATTGATTGTATCTGTTATAGTGGATTTTGTGACTAAATAGCTATGAGTTTGCATAGTATAGAATTCTGTGAGGTAGAGCCTGAAGGGACCTCGAAAGGTCATCTAGTCCAGCCCCTTTCTCTGAGGCAGGACCAAGTAAACCTAGAGAATCCCTGACAGATACTTGTCCAATCGAGTCTTAAAACCTTCAATGATGGGGATTCCACAACCTCCCTTGGAAGCCTATTCCAGAGCTTAACTACATATATCATTAAGTGGGTTTATTTTTATTTATTTTTTCCCTTATATACCTAACCTAAATCTTCCTTGCGGTAGATTAAGCATGTTTCTTTGCACGGAGAACAATTGATAAGCGTCCTTTGTACAACAGCCCTTAATGTATTTGAAGACTGTGATCAGGTTCCCTCTCAGTCTTCTTTTCTCAAGACTAAAAAAAGCCAGGTTTTTAACCTTTTGTCATGGATCGGGTTTTCTAAGCCTTTAATCATTTTTGTTGCTCTCCAATTTGTATACATCTTTCCTAAAGTGTGGCGCCTGCAATTGGACATAGTACTCCAGCTGTGGCCTCACCAGTGCCAACTAGAGTGGAACAGTTATCTCTCACCTTTTACATAGATCACTTCTGTTAATACACCCCAGAATAGCTGTCTTTTTTTTTTTCCAGTTGCATCATATTGTTGACTTGTATTTACTTTGATCCACTATAACCCCTAGACCCTTTTCAGCAGTACATCTGCCTAACCCAGTGGTCCCCAAACTGTGGGGCATGCTGTTCTGGGGGGAGCATGGAGGAATGTTTGGTGGTGTGGCGAGGCCTGGGCCAGCCTCCATAGGGGGCAAGGAGGAACCGCTACTGACACCTGCCCTGCCCCCAGCTCCTCTCCAGCCCCAGCCCCAGGTTTGGCCCCGGTCTCAGCCACTGTGCCCTGACCCTAGCTGTGGCTCTGCTCTTGGCCACAGCTCCCAGCTCTGTCCCCGCTCCCACTTTGTGGTCCCTGCTCCTGGACCAGGAAAGGGGGAGGGAGGTGGACAAAAAAGTTTGGGGATCATTGGCCTAGCCAGTTATTCCCCAATTTATATTTGTGCATTTGATTTTTTTTTCTCCTTAAGTGTAGTACTTGACACTTGTCTCTTTTGAATTTTTTATTTTGTTGATTTCAGACTAATTCTCCAATTTGTGAAGGTCACTTTGAATTCTAAACCCATCCTTGGAAGTGCTTGCAACCCCACCTATTTTAGTGTCATTCACAGATTTTATAAATATATTCTCCACTCCAGTATCCAAGTCAGTAATGAAAATATTGAATAGTACTGGATTCAGGGCTGACCCCTGTGGGACCCCACTTGATACATCCTCCCCGTTTGACAGTGGACCATTGATAACTACTCTTTGAGTATGGTCTTTCAACCAGTTGTGCACCCACTTTATAGTACAGTAGAACCACGAACTGGGGACTGGTCAACCACACAGCTCATTTGGAACCATGTACAATCATGAAAGCTGGAGGAGGGCAACCCTGCCACTAAGTCTGGTGGCACCTTAAAGACTAACAGTTTTATTTGGGCATAAGCTTTCGTGGGTAAAAACCTCACTTCTTCGGTTGCATCCGAAGAAGTGAGGTTTTTACCCACGAAAGCTTATACCAAATAAATCTGTTAGTCTTTAAGGTGCCACCAGACTCCTTGTTGTTTTTGTAGATACAGACTAACACGGCTACCCCCTGATACCTGCCACTAAGTGTGGGGCTAGGCCACAGGAAGGTCCTGTGTCAAAATGTGCCTAAAATCCTGGATTGCCTTAATTTGGGCCTGTAAATAAGTAAGAATACTTGGAGTGGTGATGGAACAGAAGCCTTGCATATGGAAAAGAAGTGTGTAGTGAAATATGAGCACCCCATTTTTGAAGGCTTTCTTTGCAGTCTCAATGGGTAGCGACTTTATTTATTTAAAAACAAAAGTGAAGAACAGATGAGATCTCTCTGCTTTCCCCTCCCCCAAGCCAACTAATTTCCCATGAAGGCATGCCCCATACTTTGGGAAACACTGGATTGGAGCACAAGTCAAAAGGTTCTATTTCTGCATCTGCACCAAATGTCTGAACATTTGTGCCTGAAATTACTCATCTGTAAACTTGAACTAAAATAATCTATTGTGCTCCTCATGGGTATATCAAAATATTATCATTTGTAAAATGAATAAGATTCTCAGAATGGTACAAAAGGCAAGATTTTAAAGGTATTAGGTGCCTTGTGAGATTTTTTTTTTTTCTCAAAAGCACCTAAGGTGTCTAACTCCCATTAATTTAAATGGGAGTAA